TGTGCTATTAGTAAACGTGCACGTTTTGGCAAGCCCTTTGCGCTAATTGAGGTGTGCGACAAGAACGGTTTGTTTTGATGCGTTTTGGATTTCGTTTTTGGCCAACAATTTTCGCGTCACAGATGGTGGAAAATATTATGAGAAACTTACAAGGTAATGTAGTATTTTTTTTGAAGCCCACAGCCTTTGGGATTTCGACAATTAAACAAAGGGGCAAAGGAGTGTGTAATTTTCGAAAATAATTTATTCTAGAGGCGGTTTGAATGCGCTCACCGAATAGTAATGCATATATATATATATATATATATATATATATATTTTTTTTTTTCATACCTTCCCTGTGTATATATTTTATTATGTAAATTCAAATAACGTTTCGACCTTTAGCAATTACACCAAAGACTCGAAACGAAAATATACATTGTTTTCCATCCATAATTTATACATTCATTCATAACGTTGGTAAAACTCCTCGACAGGTAAGTAAAAAAATACAAATTTGGGGAAAGCATTTAATGTTGGGCATCATTTTTTATTATACTACTATTTTTTGGATTGCACAACATAAAGTTTGTCAATACCTTTTTCCTTTTCATTGGTCTCGATGGAGTTGTACCTGATATGATTTTTGATCACACCATTTTTCATCATTGTGCAACTCAAATATTGGTATAGAATAGACCGCCCTTAATCTTCAGAGAGTCTTTACTTTCCATTCATTCTGTCAACATTATCCTAACCTAACCCAAGTAATGCCCAGCCAAAAAAAAAACTTATTGAGCCTTCCGTTTCACAAGTTTTTTTTATTGTAATATTTAGTGCGGTTTTATACTTTATTGGATAAAAAAATCTGACTGGTTTCTTATTTGTGAATTGCATTAACCTGAGAATAGAAAATAACACAGCTTCCATATTATCCATTTTAGAAGTAAATATTACAATTTTAGCCAAATCTTAATCACACTTACATTTTGTTAATGAAAATATGTTTATGGTAAATTACAAATTAAGTTTACTGAGAAAATAAATTACCATTGCCAAATAAATGTATAAGCGAATATTTAACAAAAAATGTTCATAATCACTAAAAACTTTCTTTTTTAATTTTTTTGAAAAAAAAAACATGAGCTATTTCCCCTTAAAGACCCGACCAATTAGCGTTGTTAAACAAATGTATTTTTCTCAAAACCGTTTTCTTTTAATGTAAGTGCAACAATTACGAAATTTAATTCTTTGTAAAGTTGGAACGCATTTTTTTTCTCTTTGTGAATACAATGACCATTATAAAGTTAACAACACTCAACGGTTTTTTTTTTTTTAAGTTTTGCATTATTACTTTATTATATTTTAATGTTAACTGCAAGTGCTTAATTAGTACTATTATATTTTACTAACCGAAAGTACAATGTGAACAACGAAAGCAATGTCCAAACAACTATTATGGTTATTGATAAGTACCATATTTTCAACAATTTTTGACTATACCAATATTATTTACCAAAACCAGTAGGAGGTAATACAGGCAAGTGTGTAATACACTAGTCTGGAATTTGCTGTATATATTACACACAAATTCATACTGCCAATTGTGTTCAATACAAACAAACGTGAGTACATATTGAATTTGAGTAGTTCTCGTTAAGTGTAAAGACTGATGGTGTAGGAATGTGAGGTACCTAACTGCCTGTGGTTAGTGTAGCTGGTAAACGGTATGATTTCGGACAAGTATTGGAATCCAAAACGAAATTCAAAGAATGCGGGTAGGTGTTTAATAGCGTTATCGATTGTTGTATACTCAGCCGGTTTCACCAACATTTGTTAAGGATTTTACTTATTGTTAATTATATTTAACAACATTTATTGAGGAACTTCTTTATATTGAGTATTTAGAGAACAACAGATAAGACATCTTCGATAACCCTTTATTAGGTAAGCAGTAGTTTTTTCATGTAGGTTGATTAGGTAAAAAGGAATAGCACAGACTTGCATTATAAGTTCAAATATTATAATTTATTGTATTTTGCAATTTAGATAATATTATTATGTCATGCCTGTCTTGAGTATAACAATGGAAATAATTCTTATCACTACCTACTTTTTTTTAGGCCTTAAAAATATAAAAAATTATTTTATTGACCTTGATGATCAACAATTTTTAGAAAGGTATAGACTATCTAAACAATGTGTTAAAAACGTATATATATATAAATTATTTATATAAAACGAAACGTTAAAATAAAGTAAAATAAAATGCCAAACAATAACAAACTGACAAATTAAATAATACAATCACTTATCAGTTATCACATATCTTGATAACCAATAAGAACGTTGGAATCGAGGTAACCGCTTTGGTAACCCAACTAACGTTTTGTTAACTTGACAAATAAAATATTTTAACAATAATAATGTTATGGTGACTCTTATTTCATTTGACCAGATATCAAATTTAAATGAATATTGTTTACTAATATTGTGTTAAGAGTGTATTTAACAATAGTTGGTGAAACCGGCTGACTATAAGGGTGGTCTATTTATAGTCTGTAGAACAACCCAGCACCAGGGTTGAATATGGTAATTATTCTAAAGAGCTATTTTTTTTAACACTGACCTATTCGTTTAACATTGTTTTATCCTTTTTTTTTTTGACAAGTAAAAAATAATTAACTACACCTCTATATACGTACACAATATAATAGTAATTATGTTGTCGGACATTGGAGTAATAATTATAATGGTCCGCTTGGTCTCTGTCACCTAACGTCAAACGGCTTGATTAATCACAAGAGCCGAAAACCGCGTCCACGGCCCCTTTTGTAAGTAATCGCAATAGTCTCGAATCGTCCATCTTGTGTGTGTGCTTAGACATATGTTTCACACTACTGGTCATGAGAGATATTAAAGCCTAAAGAAAAAAATCCCGTACCGGGTGTCATACTCGTTCTAACAGCAACAATAACTCATTTGGAAAACTACTGTTTACAATAATATTAATACTATGTTGGCCGGTTGTGTTTTTATTTCAAAATCCAATGTACTCAGTCGGTTTCACCGACTATTGTTAAATACACTCTAAACACAATATTAGTTAACAATTCATTTGAATTTAACATCTGGTCAAATGAAATAAGAGTCACCATAACATTATTATTGTTAAATTTTATTTGTTAAGTTAACAAAACGGTAGTTGGGTTACCAAAGCGGTTACCTCGATTCCAACATTCTCATTGGTTATCAAGATATGTGATAACTGATAAGTGATTGTATTATTTAATTTGTCAGTTTGTTATTGTTTGGCATTTTATTTTACTTTCTTTTAACGTTTCGGTTTGTATAAATAATTTTTTATATTATAATTGTTTAACACATTGTTTAGATAGTCTATACCTTTCTAAAAATTGTTGATCATCAAGGTCAATAAAATCATTTTTTCTATTTTTAAGGCCTAAAAAAAAATAGGTAGTGATAAGAATTATTTCCATTGTTATACTCAAGACAGGCATGACAATAATATTATCTAAATTACAAAATACAATAAATTATGATATTTGAACCTATAATGCAAATCTGTGTCATTCCTTTTTACCTAATCTACATGAAAAAACTTCTGCTAACCTAATAAAGGGTTATCGAAGATGTCTTTTCTATTGTTCTCTAATTACTCAATATAAAGAAGTTCCTCATTAAATGTGTAATTCATCATAAATTATAAAACAATTTTTGAACTATAATAATATAAATATTTTATAAAATTACTTCAATACATTTTAACATGCCTATTAACTTTTTAGCAAGCCGATTTTGGGTGATTAATTTAACAATCGTTTTAACAATGTGTTAAGGCTAACAAATCTCGATGAAACCCAATTTTCACTAATTGGTTGTTAAATATAATTAACAATAAGTTAAATTCTTAACAAATGTTGGTGAAACCGGTTGTAAGACTTATAGCTGTTTGTTAACACCTGAAGAATACAGTTGAGAAAGGACATTTTTCATACAAGCATTTAAACATAAAAAAATGTCTAGGGTTAAGTTATACCGTTAATGCAAATGAATCCCCTAATTTGTTTGGCAATTTATAGTAGGTCAATATTAATTATAATTTTACCTTATATTGCTATTCAAGTAAAAATCCTTAACAGTACTGTTATTTATTACAACAAAAAGAGATTATTTTCTTGTGAATTTAGTATCAAAAAATTAATTTTTTTTTTTAATAACTTCAAACATTCGATTATCCAAACAATGCAAATTAACCAAAACTACAAGCTTTTCAAATTAAATATTTGGTTTTAGTAAAATTAACAATTGGACCGTGCAAACATTTAATTTCAATTACACGCTATTGATAATTCTGGAACGGTTTATTTGTGCAAAACTATTTTTATATACCTTTATTGTTGCTAATATAGGTTTCTCGCCGTTTTGAGGTTTTTTTTTGTCGAAATTAATATTATTTCCATTTCAGATAAAACTAAACTTTTAAAATCGCAAGGAAATTGAAAGCTAGCGGTTTTATAATGGGTTTCATACAGGTAATTTAGTTGGCTCAACTATATTTTATTTAGTTATTCCAACTAGAAATGTATTATTGTGTCCCCGTATGAACCATATAGTTTTTAGTTAGACCAACTCTTGTGTATTTTTTTTTGTAAAAGTCTGACAAAAATTTCGCCAGAGGATTCAAACACAGTTTTTATATTGAAATATTCAAAATCTATTTCAATGAAAAACGCAGCAAAGAATTAGCATAAACACAACTGAAATCTGATCATCATATCTAAGTGAGAGTAATTTTGTCACGCATAATTGATGTACAAATAATAACTGGAGGGGTTTAAAGGTGTCAACTATGACATTTTTGAAACTGTTCAGGCAGGCTACTTTTGTCACTAAATATATTAAAATGCCTTTTTTAAATTGTCCGTTTACACCTTTAAATCCACTTTAAATGTGGTTGTTAATTGATGAAAACTATTGTCATATAAGTAACTCACTGTTCCGTTGGTTTTTTTGGTGAGGCCGTCGATCTTTGATCGATTGTTTTTTTTTTTTTTTTTTTGAACTGGTCGGCCAAACTATAAACACTGGAATAATACTTAGACTTTAGATATACTTGTTTATACTTCAACAGCTACTATTCGATGTGAGCGCACAATAGCAGCGCACGTTATGCTGGCGGACCGACGTGACGCGGATGTGGTCGGCGACTGTGTGTGCGATACGCGGGAGAGCCCTGGCAAAAGCGAGAAATCTACCGCCGCCTACCCGTAGTCATCTGCCACCGTTCCCCGTGTGCTTTCCGCTTGCCGTCGTCGCCGTGCCGCGTTCCCCAAACCGACTGCAGCAGACCACATCCTCTCTCTTTTCGGTTTATATATATATATGTATAAATAATAATAAATAGATAGATATACAGCCAGCTGATATTATGACGTGGCGCGCGCGATTCAAATGTTTTTTGGGTCAAACCGATCTTATATTATATGCTAGTAAGCTCACCCCAGATTTAACAACAAGATAAATTGAGACGAGATTAACTGCGCCGCCTGCGTTTTCTGCCCGTACAAGCCGAGCGGGATTTCCGAAATTGTTTTTTTTTCCCCGCACCGTGACGTACTTACCTGCCCTGCCTACCTAACCGCGGTAAAAATATTGAAAAGTCAAACTACGTTTCAAAAATATAATATAGCGACCATTAACCATTACCTTGTCCAAAATACCGGCTGTACTACTTCATAAGTCATATAACTCGCCTCTCTTCGTTTCATTTATCCCGCCTTTTAATTTCGCTCTTCCTTTTCAACGCTCCGACCTATACAGGGTGACTTTTTTTTTATCATAGGACATTCAAATATCTCACTGCGGGTACGATTAATAATTTATTTAACACGCTTATATTAGCTTCACTTGTATGTATGTTTGTTTGTTTGTTTGTATGTAACTATGTAACTAAAAGAGATAGGCAACCGAACGTAGATGCGTGTATTCATTGTTGTTTACCTGAAGTTTTCAAGTAATAGAGACACGTATGTACTAGAATTAAAAAACACGATTTTAAAGCACATCGAACTAAAAAGTAGAAAATAAAAAAATATAGTTTAAAAAAACTAAAAACACGCTTAAAAAGTAAAAAAACTAAAAAGTAGAAAATAATTTTCAATATAGAAATCAATTAATAAAAATTTTCAATATAGAAATCAATTAATAAAAATTTTCAATATAGAAATCAATTAATAAAAAATAAATAGTATTATTGTGAAAAAAGTGTGGGGCGCTCTTCAAGAACTGATATATGTAGCACCCCACGCTTTTTTCACAATAATACTATTTATTTTTTATTAATTGATTTCTATATTGAAAATTATTTTCTACTTTTTAGTTTTTTTACTATTTAAGCGTGTTTTTAGTTTTTTTAGTTTTTTTAAACTATATTTTTTTTCCTTCATAATGTATTTATATAATGTGATCTCGATTTCCTACTCATTTTTATGTTCCTACCTAACCTAACCTAACCAAACCTAACAAAAACTAAACCAAACCTAACCTAACCAAACCTAACCAAACCTAACTAAACCTAACCTCACCTAACCCTCATGTCTTAACTTTTAAACTCCTATAACTTTAAAAATAGTTGTTCAAAACTGGTCATCAACCAGTCAACAATTTTAGTACATTATTCTCAATTAAAAAAGTTAATAAGAAATGTATGCGTTACTATTTAAGTTTTAAAAGTTGCTATCAAAAAAAAAAAACTAATTTGGGAAGGGAGAAAAACCAAAAAAAAAAAATGGTGGAAAATTGAGATCACATTATTCAAAAAAACACTTCAAAAAAACAATTATTAATTAAACCCAGTGAAATATTGAGTGGCCCACTATACAAAAAAATCACCCTGTATTATACACATAACGTTGCTGGGAAAATTATTACATCTCTCCCCACTTTTTTTTCCCTTTTAACTTCCCCGTTTAGATAATATTAAATTCCGCACGCCCGCGTTTGCCTTAATTGGCGAAAGTGCGTTCTGTTTTTTTAATAAGCCTACTTATCCGTTGTAATTTCGAAAATTATGTAGCTACTATACTTACAGACGGCATAGCGTGTGCCCACACTCATAATATAGTGAAAAGTTTAAGTAATGTCAAAATATATGCTTGCCGTATAATGTAAGGTGAGGTCGACAAGAACGGCACACGGTTAAGACGTTTGACGAAAAATGTAAAATATGTAATTACATCACTTTGTATCTCCTTCGAAAAAGCATAATTCAAATATATGGTCGTGCTAAGGCCGAGGGGCTTTAGTTTAGGGAATTTAGAGAACTTCAAAAATGGCGACTGAACCAACTCTACTCTTTCATACTTGTTTCCCTTGATAAAAAATTGAAAATAAATTGTTTATTTTCAACACAACATATTATTCTGCTGGTTAATTTTCCAAATTAATCATCACTAAACTAAACAACTTTAACGACTATAAAATTGAATTATTATCAAGTATAAAATATGCGTTTGAGGTTTTGAAAATAATCATGTACAATATTTTAAAATTTATAGTATTTAGGAAACGCATGTAGAAACATGGAAAAACGATGACAGTTATTAATATAAAGAATTTTCCAACGGGAATATGTATTAAAAATGTAATATTATTATTGTTTGTAACACTATACTGCGTTTTACGCATATTATTTTAATTAAAAATATGAAACAAACGGGCAAAATAGTGGTCGTTTTCATAAAAGTTTTGAAAAGTTAAAACTTACACAATTATTTATAATTTACAATTGAGGTTAGATTGTGACATTTGTTTAAGGGCTGTGACAATATGAATAAACAGAACTGTAATAATATATCACGTTTAAATAGGCAAGCTAACGTTTATAACACTTAAACCTGCTGAAAATCCATGCAGTTGTATATTTTGTTTAAAGCAAAAAAAAAAACAAACAGTGAGTGCAATTAGAAACTCACACCGTTAACATTAAATAGACAACACTGACAGACTAGACGGTAAGATATTCGTTTTGGAAACGATAAGCCCACTTGACTTGCAGCTATATAGTGGTTGAGTCTTTTTGGAAATTCAATCCTATCCGAAGTCTCTAAGATGTATTAAAATATGATACTCTATCGTGACTACCTTGGAATCCTGTATCGTATTTTCATTTCAATGGTACTTTACTTTGTAAGCAAAGACGTCTGGGTTTGTCCGTTAGTATTATAAGACTTTATTACACAATATTCATTAGTGTCTTGATTCGCCATTACATTCATATTTTTAGCTAGATACGTGCAGACGGACAAGCCGGATTTACCTATAAACAATATAGCATTACCCACGTTTATAATTATTATTAAACTGGCTATATAAACCCTGTACTGTTCTGTATAATATTATGTATTCACTAAATGTACTTACAAATACTCAATTTTATTTTAAAACCTTTAATAGTTGTTGCAAAAGCCGAAATATCATCTCAACCGTTAAGACGTTAGAATGATATTGAGCTAAACAAAAGCGTATAACCCCAAAAATTTTTTTATTTTTTTATTCCTACCTAACCTAACCTAACCAAACTTAACCTAACCAAACCTAACCAAACCAAACCTAACTTAACCTAACCAAACCAAACCTAACTTAACCTAACCAAACCTAACCAAACCAAACCAAACCTAACTTAACCTAACCAAACCTAACCTGAGGTTAGAAAAGGTTAGTGAAAATAACATACTAGTTGATATTTTATTATTTAATATCTATAACGATTATTCTCAAGCATTTATTTTTTCCTTATAAAAGTGACTAAAAGAGTGCAAATAAAACACGCTTAAATAACCAATTTTAAAATTATTACACGGCACGTTTTATGTATTTTCATAGTCATTTCACATGGATTCATTTTAAAACGAGTGAATCTTTTGATTGTTTAATCGTAAAAATTCTTGCAAGAAAAATAAAAACCGAAACGAAACGTTGCCATGGTGATGTTTTTTGAATTAACTCTTACCTACATACAGGGTCTAAGGGAGTCTAAAAGCTTTGCGCACACACACATTTCCGGTTTGAGTACAATATCCGTTCCAATGAGCTTTCCATTAGATCACTAATGTTATCCTATCATTGCCGGTATGCTCAAGCACCATACAAGGTACATTCGGTGAAAAAAAAGATAAAAACGCGTATATACATATATATTTATTCCCAAGAAATTAAACAAGTGTGCTCATACAAACAATTGTGTACTGTTTTAGTTGAAATATAAAGTTTTTAAGTTATATGAAACACATGTAGATTAAGTAACCACATAATTGCTGTATTAATAGATAATCAGCCGGTTTCACCAACTATTGTTAAATACACTCTTAACACAATATTAGTTAACAATTCATTCGAATTGAACATCTGGTTAAATGAAATAAGTTTCACCATAACATTATTGTTAAAATATTTGATTTAATAAGTTAACAAAACGTTAGTTGGGTTACCAAAGCGGTTACCTCGATTCCAACATTCTCATTGGTTATGAAGATATGTGATAACTGATAAGTGATTGTATTATTTAATTTGTCAGTTTGTTATTGTTTGGCATTTTATTTTACTTTCTTTTAACGTTTCGGTTTGTATAAATAATTTTTTATATTATAATTGTTTAACACATTGTTTAGATAGTCTATACCTTTCTAAAAATTGTTGATCATCAAGGTCAATAAAATCATTTTTTCTATTTTTAAGGCCTAAAAAAAAATAGGTAGTGATAAGAATTATTTCCATTGTTATACTCAAGACAGGCAAGACATAATAATATTATCTAAATTACAAAATACAATAAATTATGATATTTGAACCTATAATGCAAGTCTGTGCTATTCCTTTTTACCTAATCAACCTATATGAAAAAACTTCTGCTTACCTAATAAAGGGTTATCGAATTTACTTTTCTATTGTTCTCTGAGTACTCAATATAAAGAAGTTCCTCATCAAATGTGTAATTCATCATTATATATTACTAGTAAGCACACAGTATTGAAAATGTATTTAATGTAGACAATTATATAACTCCTAATACTAAAATTCTTAAACACATTGAATTTAAGACATTATATTTAAAAAAATATCGTTTAAGTCCCTACATTTACAACTTAAATAATCTGAGTGCTTGTCCATCATATTCTGCTCTGCAGACTGAATTCCATGTTATGTTCGATAATCTTTGTACCAAGCTTTTAACATGATGGTATTTCTTATAAAAAG